TTTTTTTTTTTTTTTTTTTTTACAGTCCTTTGTGTTTATGTTTGTCACTATTTGGTGAAAATGTTCCCGTTGTGGCAAAAGGTGATTTTGGCCGCATGTTCCTCCCAGACATAATGAGTGCTCCAAAGCCGTGCTGATGGGAGAAGGCATAGCCGGAGCGGCGTGTGCTGGTCCGACGAAGGCGTCTCTTGGGTGATGGTGGAGGTGGCCGCTTTTTGGCTTCTTTGATCTTGAGCAGGACCTGAAATCAGAAAACAAGATAGAAAAAGTAGGAAGTGCATCATTATTTACAAGCACAGCAAAAGAGGAGCAAAGAAAGGGAAACAGAAGTAGGGGTCCAAGGCCAAAAATGATTGACAAAACCGGGGGATGTTCCTGCATTTTTTTGAATGGAACTGGCAGCACAGGACGGCAGCCTGGTAAAAGGAAAAGGCAATCTTATCCTAAAGGACATTAACGGGAGTGTCATCATGGGAGGGGATGATTTCAGTGTGCTGTTCCTCAAGGCTCTGTGATGCCTCAGTTGGAGTATTACTGCGGCTCTTCCAGGCACCTCAGTCAAATAATCCAAAATGTGAAAGTCATCTCAACAATAGCCAAAACTCCAGAAAACAGAGAAGGAAACATTTAAGAATTCGCTTACTTAATCTAGAAAACAGACTGCTAAAGGATATCTGTGATACTTTTTATGATGAGAATGGTGATCAACAGATTCTCATATTCTTTGGCAGAAGGGAAAGAAATAATACACTTTATTTGCAGGTAGTGGGCTCTTTGCTCCCATGCGACCACTGAGATCATCTGTGGCGGACAAGCATCTTTTCAGAAAGGGGCTGTCAAAGGCGGGAGGCCAGTACTGAATGCCAGCGGCTCGGCAGATTCCCCAGCCACTGGACCCCTTTGCTTCTTGCTTGGGACAATGGTAGCTGTAGGTACTTGGCCCCTCTAAACATCAGGTCTATATCTAAGTTCCTCTCATACTGCCAGTTGGGGATCTCTGTACAGCAGGAAACCCAAACACTCATCTCCTGTGAAAATTCATTTCCCAGAGAAGGTAGAAAAGTAATGTAATTTTGCACTAGAGAGATGCTCCTCCTAAGCACTGAGGCTGGGATTCTGAGCAACAGCTCTGTTGGACTTCTACTCAACTGAAGGGTACACTCAGCCCATTTTTACACACCTGAACTGCCTCTAACTGTGTCCTGAGGACCTCCCTACCTAGCAGTCTTCTCTGGCACCCACCTACCCCCTCTTCAAGGGCTGAGAATTTCCCCTTTACTCGTTCTCCAGCAGCCCTGGAGCACCTGGGGATCTTCAGAGACATCCCGAGGATGATGAGGGCAGGCGCTGGGGAGCACTGAGGTGCGGTGCCCTTGGGGCTGTGGCAGAGGCTGGTTGCTGGCAGCTCGGCGCAGGAAGGGGAAGGCACCACCAGGTGGCAGCACCATGTAGCAGATGCTCTGGTTTGAAAGCGAGCCCGGGGAGCTGTGCCTGTTCTTGGGGGTATTCTGGGGGGGTACAGGCTCTTGAGATGGGCGCTCCCTGCCCGCTCCATCGCTCCCAGCCTCTCCTGGCCCTAGCCGCCTCATCTTCATATTCCTGGGGATGGGAGGGCAGCTGGTTTCAGAGGGGGGATTGTAACTATTGGCTACAAACGGAGTAAATTGTGAAGTAAAAAAAATCTCCAGCAAACAGGTACACCTGGGTGGAGGGTGAAGGGCTGTGGTCTGCCAGGCTAAAAACTGTATGGCAGCAGGGCAGGAGGAACACGTGAATGCTCTGCCACAGCACTTAAACCCTACACCTAAAAATAGTGCCGCTTCCTTGCTCCAGTGCAATCTAATCCACGCCTAAATTATCTCAGCCTTGGTCTCAGCTGCAGATGGTTTGAACCGTGCCAAAACCCAAATTCAATCCTCCTTCTCAAGGGACTAGGGGAGAGATGGATGGCAGGACTTGCACCTACAGGGACATACACTGAGCAATGCCAAGCCCATGAAATACGGCTCCACCGTAAGCTTAGGTGGTAGTCACCAAGATTCCTGGTTTAAGAAGGTATCTCCTTACTTTATCGCTGGGAGTTGGCTTTAGCTGAGCCTTCAGGAATCGAAAGCCAACTACAGGCAGCACACAGAGGGTGATGCTGAGGAAGATTGCTAGCCACACGTTTGGTTGGCTGAGGGTGTTTCGAGCCGTACCTGAAAAACAAAAGCATGATTAAAACCATAACAGCGGCACCTCTCACCGTTATTCACCTGAACCTTTCACCAACTATGATTCCAAAGCACTTGGCAAACAGACCAAAATGTGAAGCAGATACCATCTCCAACAGTGAAATCAACTTGCTATAGAGAGGACAACAATACCAATATCACTGTCTAAGGTGATGCAATGTCCAGACACAACTGCAGCAACAACTCAGGGAGACAAGGATGTCAGAGTGAATGCCTCATCTGTTTACAAAGAGTCATACCACTGTGAAGGATTGCTATAAATGTTCAGGAGACCTTCTGCAGCCGCAGTCCAGCCCTTTCACCTTTTGCCAGGACTCTAGTACAAAAGGACAAATACTATTCTTACTTTCCAGCACCATTTCCCGAAGCTATGGAGTCCTGACTCTGACTGCCCAGCAGACGATACGATCACAGCCCTTTACGAGAGGAGCATGAGTTGCTCTGAGTGTCTGCACGGACAGCATAGCCTAATGGGTCTATTGGGAGAGCAACTAGCATGTGCTGGAGTGACACTGCCACCTTCCCTGAAACCAAAGTGCTCACTTCTGGCTTTTCCAGAAGTGAAGGAATGCAAGACAGAACAGTCTGCAAAACTCTCATTACAGGGCTTAATGATGCTGTTGTTGGCAGTGAAGTTGCTGAATGTTTTCAGTTGACCAAATTCTGCTGTAATACAACGCCACTGAAATTAAAGTAAACAAGTTGTCTAAGTCCGGACTAGAAACATTTTCCTTAAAAATGGTTTCAGACTGAGAACTTACTAAGCAGTCCTCAGCATTATGGCTAATTTGACCTATGTAGTAACAACAGAGCAGCAGATAGAGATATCCCTGTAAGTGAGTTACTGCCTGTCTTTGGAAACTGAACAGACGCTGTCCTCTCTCACTCAGCATTTCAGATACTAAAAGCCATTTTAGAGTGGATATGACCATCTGCTTGGAAAGGATCTTGCAGCAACTGACCTGCATCTCAAGGATTTCTAAAATGGCCAAGCACCTTGGTATTGCAGTGAAGACGGGCAGAACAAGTCTTGGCTTAACAATTCATCCAGAAATAAAGGCATTGATTAATATAGCAATCGGAGACTTGAAACAAAAAGTGTTGGGATTTCAGAAGTAGAGTCTCATAACAATGCTGTATCAATATTGGCTATGGATGCACAGAGCTATAAAAAACATCTGAATTACTTTGCTAACCTTTCATCTTCCTGCTGGTCAAAGTCTCAGGAGAGGGACTCATTTTGATGTTATCCTTCACTTTTTGCATGTGTTCAGAAATCTGTTTTGCAGAGTAACTCCAAAGACCTTGTCATCACTGGATTTTTTTTTTTTGTTAGGAATTTGCCATTTAACCTGGCTGAAGGCTCACCATAATCACATGGCGGTTTTCTCATGTCTAACTGCACGTTGTACTTCTATGCTTTCCTGCACCAACAAGTTAACTTATTTACAAAAGAACATGCATCCTTCTGCAAACAAAATGCTCCTAGATGTCTGTAAGAATTTGACACCTGGAAACAGAATATAAAAGAGCAGCAGAAAACACTCCAACCACCTCAGTAGGTTTATTTAAAGGACCATTCCTGTGGCTGCATGTGAATGTGCATTCTTACGCAAGGAAGCGAACGTGGCAAATGTTCACCTGGATGGATGGGATTCAAAATAAGCATTCCCAGCAGCCCTCAGAAATACCCTGGCATTTCTTGTAGAAAAGGCAATCAAAATATTCTGTTATTGCCTCTAGAGAGGCAATAGCATGTACTAGAAACACTCCACAGATTTAAGCCCTGCAGTATGCCCATTTTGAGTGCAACCCAGATTTGTCCCAGGGCTTACCAACAAAGGGAAAGGAGGCTGTGAAGATCAGGTACATGCCGTCACTATACATGGTGAAGGTGATAGCAAAGTAAACAGAAAGGCTGCCCCAGATGAAGAACTGGTTCACAACTGTCCAGTAAGATGTGTCCAAGCCAATCTGAAAGAATGGAGCAATACAGCTAGTGTCAGTGCTTTAATTTTTTAACAGATCTGTGCTGAACACAGCTTCTCCTCTGCTTTGTACACCTGCCCCAGAGACTGTTGTTCATTCAAGTCTCAAGAAATACCAAGCCACAGGTCACAGGATGCTGGGAGACCATTCAAGGTAAGCATTACTATGTTAGCCCTGTTGTTGCCCTCTTCTCAAGCATTCACCAGTGGCCAGTACTGGAGACAGGATACTAAGTTCAAATGCTGATGTCCCGATCCCCAAGCTGTGATCTAGCATTGGAAGTTAGGAGAAGGAGCCTACAGGACCTCAGACAGCAGAAACTTTTATCTAGGAAGGTGTGATTAACTGCTTTCTTTCAAGAAATTTCTCTTATCCAGCTAGTACCATCTGAATTTTGTACCACCGAGTCTTAGCTGTTTCTTCCAGCAAGGGCAGGTCTAGCATCTGCATCATGCATGGGGCCAGGCTACAGAGACAGCCCCATAATGGAGACCCCATAAATAACCGTCTCATAGCAGACAATCCTGTGCTTCAAACCCTTCCCATAAAACTGGAATGAGTCCTGCTCTGTTCCCAGCCTTAACTGTTTTGTCTGCTATGACTATAAACTTCTCAAGGCAAAGACTCTGCTCTCCTGTCACCCTGATCTTTCACAACTTACAAATCTGTTGTTCTGTTGAACTGAGGGGAGTAATCTGGTGTCGACAGACTTTTTTTTTTTTGCAAGAATGCAAGATGCAACAGCAAATACAATGCTATCAAGATCCCAAGTAGCCCTCCAGATTCTGCCTTCATAAAACAACACCTAATTCCTAAAAATGTTACCTTGGATGCCTTACCTGTACAGACACCACAATCAGTAAGCAAGTCTGGGCCATCAGTGCAAAGGACTGGTAGTCAGCAATGGCCTTCCCATCACTTCTCATCGCATTGTACATGGCCCCATAGGGGATGAAGAAGAGAATGAGGGAACTGTAGATCCCTTGCAACATGCATTTGACAAACACAATTTTGTTAAAATAGAGGTTTTGCTGGCCAGGCACATATAACTGAGGAAATAGCATGCTCCAACGATCATCCACATCCTGAAAGTAGAGAGGAGATAGTCAGGTTTGCTGGCAGCTACCCAACTGACCACACAGGACAACTTAGGGTTCCCATGTCCCTATGACGTGCATTTCCATGAAAGAAGGCTTAGCACACAATTCACTCAGTTGTGCTGACTAGCATGCCACACCCCAAGGTCACCTAGACGTATTTTCCATGTTGAATTTCACCTTTCTTGTGCTGAGAAAACTGAAAAGCACTGCAAAAAAATGAAGGTACATTTCATCTTAAGTCAACTGCATGGTCTGCTCTTGAGAGAGTTGCCTGGAAGTTGAGGGATAGAAAATACTTCCCCTGGGCCCACATACAGACAAGGCTATCTGACTTGGATTCCTTAAGTGTTCAGAGTTGAACACCATGAACTGCTGCAGAGTAGCAAGTTCCTACTTCTTTAACTTGTAAAAGGCATATAGGAACAGCTTTATTACTCTTATGTCTTGCCAAACAGTAATAATGAGGTAGAAATGTGTATGTGAAATTACTGCAGAAAGACTTCCACTAGAAAGGCTGAACCTGGAAAAACCTAGCTTCAGAGATCTAGTTCATTCACTGTTTTGCATGCTCATTAAAAAGTCACTTGTCAGGCTTCGGGAACACAGCTAGTAAGATCTGACTACTTCAGGGGAGTGTTGCAATGAAAGCTTTTACTATAGTCAACAGCTTAACCCAAAAGTCTCATCATACACTGAAACCCACAGGCCAAATCAGGATAATAAGCCATCTCCTCCCTGGTGCATCCTTTTTTTTGTGTTCTCAGGTCTCCCTGGCAGGAAAGTATTTCAGGGGCCACCACAATACCTAGCCAAAAAGTCAGCTGCTTTTGCTTCATGGAACCAGCTCAAAGCACCTGGTGATAAAATCCCTATAAAAAAAAAATCCAAGTGGTGATAGAAACAGTACCTGATCGAAGAGGCTCATTCCTAGCACCGGGAGGGAGGTATAAACCAAATTGTAAAGTGTAATGAACCACTCATCATAGACAGTCTGGAAACAAACAAACAAAAAAAAAGCCAAAAAAACCACAAAACAAAAAAACACAAGATTCCTTGTAATATCCTCTAACTCACTAGGACACAAACAAACAAACAAACAAAAAAACCCAAAAAACAAAAACCAAACAAAATACAAAAAAAACCAAAACAGAGTATGGAGTTAGCAAAAGGCTGCCTTTTCCACATCTTTGAAAGTATACACAATTAAATGCTGGAACATCTTGGTTTGAGATGCTAGTGAGACCAGAAGTATAAGGTGACTGAAGCTCAGGAGCCCTAAAGGGCTTGTTACCATCACCGGTGGGAATACACGGGAGAA